TAATGACCCAGATGCTCTTTATATAAATTTCCCTCCAAAACAACTCAAAACAATTTGGGAGTAGCTTTGAAGAGATGCTCCCCAAGCTGAGGCTCCCTGTCCTCGAATCTCCTTTTGGGAGCAGAGATCGATAACGTGGAGTTTATCGTGACCATCAATTCCAGCTTATTAGACAGCCCTAACACTCCCCTCTCACCAACGCAGTGTTTTTATCTCTAGTGGAAAATGGCTTGACTTTAAACAAAAATAAAAGTAAAAAGGGGACTTTCATGGCGTACTTTTACAGAGGAATGTGACTCTTCTCAAACAAGAAAGAACTCAGTCTTTACAGTGAGGTGTCCTCCAAGAACTTAAATGCAGGAGGGCTAGTTATCCTGCCCAGGTCCTCGGGTCCTTCTCTGCAGAAGCGAGTGGAGGAGAGTGGGGAGCAGGGGCAGCTGTCCAGGGCAGGCAGGGTCCTGGCTTCAGGCATGTGTGGCCCAATCCGAGGGGATCTAGGTTCTGGGAGAACATCTCAACAGTGTCCTGAGACTATGGTACTAGTGCTGGGCTGACAGGTGAAGCCAGGTGGGTTGTGGAGGGGTCACATGGGGCTTGGGTGAGGCGCAGTCCTTGGAGGTGTGTTCCTGTGGCAGGCCACATGTAGGCTGCAGCACGAAGGTGTCTGGCTCTAGTTCAGCACCCTGCAGTGATGGGGCTGTGACCAGCAGGTATGCACACCTCTTCCCTGACATGTTCCTCTTCTCGCTTCACCCCTTCCCTCTGTGATGTGCTCTGTTTCGGTGTAAAGAGGAAGAACCGTAACTGTGTATCTATGTGGCATATATGTGTGGCTTCGGGAACTTGAAAGAGAATTTAGCTAGCAAACCAACAGGAAGCCTGCTGTTTGCCAAGCATTGTGCTACACAGTGGGCATGCACTGTAAGCAGGCCCGAACTCTGCCCTCCCAAAGCTGTGGTCTAGTCACACGGCAACCGACTGACCTAGTTTGTTAGGGACATTCAGTGCTGACACTGGGCAAAATTCTCGGCAAACCTGGATGATTTGGTTACCTTCGTTATTGTTTAGATCTAGAATGTCCCCCAAAATTCTCATGTGCTCAGAGGTGGGGCTTTGCGAGGTGATTGGATCGTGGGGTGCTGTACTCATCAGTGGATTTCCCCTACTAATGAGTCCCACAGCTGAGTGTGCTCTTAGGAGGTGGGGCCTCGTTGAGGGTGGGTCCCTGGCTGTGTAACCTGGAAGGGTGTACCTCCTTCTCGGGCTCCTCTCTTTTTGTCAGCTTCCAGGCTGCCATGACGTGAGCAGCTTTCCTGCCTTGGCACCAGCCAACTATTGATTGAAAACGTGAGCCAAAATAAACCTCCCTGCCTTTAAGTTGTGGGTGTTGGGTATTGTGTTTCAGCAATGAGAAAGTGACGGAGACACCCTGTCTAGTCACAATGGTGGCAAGCGTGGCCAGTGGTGGTAAAAAGGTTCTGGTGGAGACGGAGGGAAAGTTCACAAACTATTTTGGCAATGGAATGTCTTCTGCTCACCCCACGTGACACAGATCTCTGAGGATCATTTCCTCCTCTGACGAAGACATGGATGAACAGCTGAGGTGGCTTGTCCATGGTCACGCAGCAAGGAAGGGCAAAGTGGGGACCAGCACCTGAGGCCTTCATTCACTGTGCAATGCTCTTCCCCTAAACTCTATCTGCCTTGGGTGTTTTATTCTGCTGTCCCCTCACCTCTCTACTTATCCAAGCCCACTTTCTTCAGGTTAAGTGCAGAAAATTTGGAGGGAGGGAGAAAAAGGGAGTCCTGTGATGTAAAGAGACCAGAGGGCAGCAGGTGGCTGCAGCTGTGAGGGCCCAGCAGCCTCCAGGAGAGAAGAGGAGAAAAGAAGGATTTAAGGAGGTCAGGACATTTACCCTGGAGGGATCACTTAATTACAGTGTAAAGCAAGTGAGAACTTCCTGAGACCTGATGGGAGGAATCACAGCCATCAGTTCAAGGGAAGGGAGGACAGAAGAACAAGAACCTGCTGGTCTAGAGAAGACCTGACTGTTTCAGATGGGGGAGGCTTGTAAGAAAAAGGAGCATTCCAAGACCAGTGGTGTGCATGTGAAAATAAACCCGTTGGCTTTGTTTCTCCCCAAAATCATTCACTAAGTCCCTACTCTGTACCAAGCCTTGTTTCAGGTAGGGAAGTAGCAGAGACTCCAAACAAAGTCCTTGCTCTGAGGGAACATCATTATAGTAGTGGGAGAGAGAGAGAGACAAAAATAAATGTAAATAGGATACAATATACCAGATGTGCTGTTATGTACAAGAATTTTCATATAAAAACCTTGTGCTTGAAAGTCCTTCATGTGAAAATAGTGATCAGCAGGGTTTAGCTTGTAAACCAAATATAAATCTTTATTCTGCTTGGAGGAAAAATCTCATAAGGCTTCCTGAGACCAGCAGCTCACACCATTATGGCTGCTACTGGAAGAAATTATGTTCTTGGAGGGGAGTGACTTGTTAATTATATTCTAAACTAGAGGGGAAGAAAGTAGGAGAAGGTAGTTAACTCTTATCCCTGAAAACCAGACAGAATTCACAGAAAACCCCTGGGCAAGTGCAGAGGTCTAGAGCCCCAAGTTCCACTGCTCATGGAATGTAGGAAGCAGGACAATGAACTTGTATCAATATATTGATTTTATTGGGAGCTGTCCATTGTATTTATATTCAAGAAGAATAAAGACTGTGTGCTGTTTGGTTTAACATGCAGTTAACAAGTAGTTTCTATGCTAATATTCATGTCTGTTTTCATGCCCAGGAAAGCCCAGCCACTGACCTTAATTGCTGCCCCCAAAATAAAGACTAGCCAGAAGATTATTGACTGTCAACCACAAACCTTTTAGTTGTTGTTATAACAATTGTATTCACAACAAAAAACAATTCTGGAAATGATCCAGTGAGCTTAAGAAATCATTCCAAGCCCAGCATAGTAGCCCACATCTACACTTCCAGCACTTGGGAAGCTGCAGCAGGAGGGCTGCAAATTCAAGGCCAACTTGGGCTACACAGAAAGACCGTGTCTCAAAACAAAAAGCCATTCCAGTCTCTCTCTTTCATTGGAGTTCCTCTCTTCAGCTCTCCATTCCCTTCATCTTTTCACTGCAGCTGGATAAGCTGGCTCCCTCCTCTCCAGCTGCAGCTCTGTCCCTAGGTCATGTGAGACCTTCCCATGCTGTGGAAGTTTCTGATCAAACCTTGCCTTTTCATAGAGGGCTTCCTAGCCACTTCTGAGCCACAGCTGCTAGGGCATCACTGTGTCATCTTATCTTTTGCTACTCTCTTCATTTTAGCACTGGTATTGCATTGTATCATCTGTTTGCTTCCATGTTTATTTATTTCCCTTGTCAAAGGATAAGCTCTATGCGGACAAGGACTGTGTGCAATTCTCTCAGTGCCTAAAATAGTACCTGCCTGGCAGAAGAAGCTCAATAGCTATTTATTCCATTAAATACAAGAAAGAATGAATTCTAGGCCAATCTGTTAACTTAATAGTTTTATTAAAATTGCAAGTATGAAGTAGATTTGGGGAAAGGCTCAACTCTTTTCCTTCCCCCACCTCCCATCTCCCTTTGGCGAGAGAGAAGGAGAGCTGGAAATAGAAAGGGAGAAATTTCTGTAAATTTCTGGTAACCATAGAGACAGTGATTTTAGTTTATTAATCTCATGCTCTTAAGCAGGCTGGGGCCCCATGGTGATTTCTCCAAATTGCTCAGTGCTGGTTATCCTGCAGCCTTCCTCATTAAGGAAGAGCAGGTCCATTCCTATCCTGCAGCACTTTAATTACTGACAAGCAGAAGCCCAGCACTATTACACTCATTCTTGCATGTTCTAACCTGGCTGCACCTCCCACTTTGGAGCAACAGAATGTGGTCACCAGCCCTAAAGCCCTGGAGTCTTCGGTGGCAGGTGGTGGATGTGGGCCACCTCCTCCCCAAGCCCAGAGCTTGAGATGGGGATGAAATTTCTGTCCTATCCTTGAAGATGGCAGCTCAGTGCCATCTGGAACAGCACTTAGTTTCAGCTAGGGAAGGTCACCAGCATGGTCTCCTGCCTGCTGAGGCTATGGTTTCAGAGGATAGGTTATGCCCTTGGGGACCATAGCACTTCTTCCTGTCTGGTGTCTTTTGGCTGTGTAAGGGTTGTTTGTTCCTCTTCCGATGGAGAATGACATACAGCCTTTTAAAAGTTTGCCTGTAGTTCTTTGAGTAATGGCTTCAGGGAGGACTTTCTTCCATGGCTGTTTCTTCTTCAGAGAAGAGTCTGGTGCAGATGTCAGCAGACGAGGTGGGATTCTATCTTGAGCTATCTCCCAGTGCAGCCCTAGGTGGGGATTCAACCTCCATGGGCCTCAGTGTCATTTATGAATGAGAATAGACTTGGTCCTTTTGTCCCTTGTTTGTGTTGAGACTCTGACAGTAGTGTCAGCCTGACTGCAAGGCTGGACCCTGAATGAATGATGGGCAGAAGAAACAAGTAGGATGGCTACTGGAGTGAAGGAGAGTGTGTTTGGGTAGTAGAAGTCTCTAGAAGAAGACAAACTTCCCTCCCAAGGCTGGTCTGGCCTGGCCTCACACCAGTGTTGTTATTGTTATTCATACGGCTACATTGTCTACCCTGTTGGTTTAGAAACATTGAGTCACCCCTGCAGGAAACACTCAGGGACAGCATGCAGGTGCCACATGCTGTGCTGTATGCTTTTGTCCAGCTGCCCAGCTGAGATAGGCACTGGCAGTTTTCCCCGAAGTGTGGGACAGAGTGTTTCAGTGGCTGTGGGTCTTTCTGCTGCACACGTAGGGATCATCTAGGTAACAGAGAAGAGGCCCTGGGAAGAATCCGGACTCCTGAGCCCGCCAGCAGCTAAGCTGGAGTGAGAGGAAGGGTGGGGCTTCACCTGGTGCCTCCAGCTGAATGGCCAACAGATCCAAGAACTTGGCTGTTCTTCTTTCCAGGTGCCGAAACCTGTCGTTCCCCAACAGCTTGCCGGAGGTGAGCATTGTGTTCATTTTTGTCAACGAGGCTCTCTCAGTGCTGCTGCGCTCCATCCACTCCGCCATCGAGCGCACACCCTCACACCTGCTCAAGGAGATCATCCTGGTGGACGACAACAGCAGCAATGGTGAGTACCCACCTCTGCTTCGGGTTGTCATTTTCTCCAAGGTCTCAGTATCACTTCTCTGGGATGTCATCTCATGTACACTGACAGTGACTGTTTTCTATGAAGCAGCACATCATTTAGAGGTGTTCTTTGGCCTGGGCCTGGAGGATTGTTGCCTGGTGCTGTGCTAGCAGTGATGGTGATGATGGTGGAGATGTTGATGGTGCTGGTGGTGGAGGTTGAAGTGGTGTTGGTGGGAGGATGGTAGTGGATGTGTAAGCCAGTGACAGCAACAGAGCTGGTGAATGTCCTTGCTGGATCCCTGTGCCTTACTCCATCTGTCCCTAGCAAGGCCCCAGGTGACCTGCAAATGCCTCATTGAGGTCTTTATTCACTACTTCTCCCCCCACAGCAGCTACCTCTACCCCTTCCTACACACCCCAGGCCTCTGATTGCTCCCTACATCTGCCACCTTCCTAATTCTCCAAACTTAAAGACCATGTACAGAGACAGTTTAGAAGCTATGTTCGTGATTGGACAATTTATTTATATGCATGTGTTTCTGATAGTGTGTGATTTTTAAAAAATAGGTCACCAGATCATAGAGTCCCTGGGCTCGTGTTATCTTTTTGAGCCTTTTCTGATATAGGTAGTAAACTTGCCAGTGAATCAGTTGCTGTAGTGAGATGGGCAATGTGTGATTTGTTATAAAGTAAAGCTGAAACATATCAGATAATTAAAATGCACTTCATCTCAATAAGCAAATTTTCATGTAGTAGGAAGTGTAGGAGCAGTGCTGTGATAGCCTTTTAGAGCTTTCTGAAGGGCAATGCTCATGAATCACTGGACTCTGATTGTTCCAGAAAGGAAGGAAAAGGTATCAAGGACACTAGCCAATAGGCAATATAGTTTCTAAGGTGATTTCCTACCAGGATGGAGATAAGAAGGGGCCGAGCTCCCATCTCTGTGAGCTATCGACCATCACTTTTCTTGGCCCCTAATGAAAGCGCCCATCCTCCCATGGCTCATAACAGCCAGCTATGCGCAGCCCTCAGCTCCACCCAGACCCACTCGTCCCCTCCCACCTTACCTTATAAGGAAGCAAGGGGTGAAGGATGAGGACATCCCCAAACCAAGACGTGTCCCCGGGCCCTGTCCTGCTGCACTCCCTTGCATGCCAGAGAGAAGAGCATGAAGTACCAGGAGGAAGGAGTCTTGGAGCCTTTCATTTCTTCCCTGTGGTGAGAAGTTTATCATATCCTTAAAGATGCCATTTGTCTTTAATCTATATGGAAAATTGAGGAAAGATTGATATTACTTGTGAGAAATTAAATTGTATTTGAGAAACTTGGGAGAAGAAAGCAGGTCAGAGGGAGAGGGTGGAATATTTGAATTTAAAAGTTTGCATTTTATTTTGTTAATGATGGCTACCATCAAAAGTTTTTGGTCAGAAGAATGAAGTGGTGAAAGCTGGACAATCGAGGCTGGACAACATGACACTAGCTAGGGGAAGGGCTACCTGGAGGAAAGAAATCGGTGAGCAGGCTATGGCTGCAGGACAGACAAGAAGTCAGGGGCCTGGCATTATCGGGGTGTGGGGATCAGGGAAAAGACTCAGTCCTGAGAAATATTGTAAAGAAAGTTTCTGTTGGACTCGCCTTTGGCAGGTGGGTCGAAGAAGGGTGGGTCAGTGAGAACTCCAAATTGCAAGTCAGGGTGACTTAAAGGATGAGAGTGAGTTACCCTGGGAGAGGAGGTGGGAGGAGCGAGGAATGGTGATTTGGTGTAGTATTTACTCCTGCAAAATGTGTGCAAGAATCACTCACTTGGGAGGCTTCAAAACCAAAGCTCTGTGGTGATGGTACTGTTTGTGGTTTTGTGGTGATGATACAGTTAAGTATCTTGACTGTGGCAATGTTTACACAAAGCTATATGTGTGCTAAAACTGTGTGCAGCTATACATGCACACTCCCATGAGTACCTGAATAACTGCAGAGATCTGAACAAGCCTCATGGAGTGCAGCAATATCAGTATCCTGGGTTTGAGACTGCAGTGTAGTTGTGAAAGATATTACCACTGGGGAGACTGCATGGAGGCTGCATGGCACCTTCTTGTACATTTGTGTGGATCTTTAATTACCTCAAAATTTAAAGTTAAAATGAATAAATCAAAGTACCCCCCAGAAGATCCTATGTTAGGTGTGAGGTAGAATCTGGACATCACTGTTTTAAAAAGCATGCTTGATGAGTCACAGCTCTAGCTGAGAGCCTGTGGCTAAATACATAACGTGTAGCTTCACGTTTACCCACGCCGAGTGTCCAGTGCACAGTGTGAAGGGAGGAGCTTTGGGGCGAAGCTGCAAGTCATGGATTCAGACTCTCTGCATGGTAGATAAGAGACCATGGGAGAGCCCTCAGCCTGCTCAGCCTCAGCTTCTTCTTCTGTGAAAGGGGGTGATAATCCACCCCTGCTTGCCTCACCTGCCTCTATGAATTGGCCGGTCAGTGTCATTGCCACCAGCCTCCAGCACTTTGCCTGGAGCCCAGAGCACAGCTAGTGACCTGTGTAACCGGAGCTCAGGAGAAGAAAGTAAGGGGACTTGGGTTTGGAGTATTGTGGAGGGAGATGAAATCATTTGGTGCAAGGAGAGGGTGTCAGGAGAGAAGAGGAGAGGGAGTGGAGGGGAGGAGAGAGAAAAGCCAGAAGCTTGAAAGCACACTGAGGGTGAGATATTCAGGACCCATAAGGATGAGCTAACTGGTGAGAGACAGAGAAGGAACAGCCACAAGAATCTGGAAGACAGTATGGTCCCATGGATGGAGAGAATTTCAGATAGTTGTCTGTTTGCGGAAGGTGGAAGGACAAGGCGCCCGAGCAGAAGCCCCTGCATGGAACCTCAGTGAGAAGCAGCGTTAGTGAAAGGCTTGGCTGGGCTGTAGAAGCCAGACAAAGAAGAGCAGATAGTGGATGCAGGGTTTTCTGTCAGGGATTTTGATTATGGAGGAGAATCTCAAGCTAAGGCAAGAATCGAGGCAATGTTTTTCAAAAATAAAAAATAAAAATCACTATAATCTACAGCAAGAAATAAATTTACATCGTGACCCAGAATGACATACCTACTCATCCCCATACACACAAGATTGAAACAAAACTTTTAACAAATAATGCCTAACCTTACAATGTGCAAAGTACTCTGCTATTTTCTATTGTGTTCTGTTCTGTGCTATTCAATTCTATTGTATTGTATTTTATTCTACTTCTCTTTTTTGAAAAACAGGCAGGTTGTGCGCAAAACCTTGAATGCGTGTTAGAGTCTCATAGAGAGCTGTTAAAAAATTCGAGGGGTGAGGAGTGACTTAGTGATTCTGAAGAGGGGGGCCCTGTGTTCCTTGAGGCTGGGGTCTGGAGCAGGGTCTCTGTGGAGGGAGGGGAAGATGGACCCAGGGCCCAGAGGCCAGGGTTGCCTTGAGGGAGGAAGGGCTCATCTTTCCCCCACGCAGGGGGCACAGATGGCTGAGCAGGGGGACAGCTGGAGGTCATGAGGGTTCTGGGGGCAGGCACAGCAATTGCCTCTGTCCTGGGTCTTGTAGCAGGCAGGGGCCTGACCGGGTCTGGTCCACAGAGTGCCCTGTGCAAATGGGAAGGTAGGTGAGCAGGAGTGGGCCTCCCCTAGACTAGCCCGAGCTGAAGTCCCCAGAGGAAGGGCACTGTCTCAGCCTTAGGACACACTAAGGACCCTTCCTACCGCTTGGTCTGGCATGAGGCGGATACAGATCTACCTCAGCAGGCTCCATTTTGGGGAACTGTTTCTTCCAGGCATTATCTCGGCACAGGACTCTGATTTATTTTCAGTCAGGCTCACCCTCTCGGTTCCACAAGCATTCCTGGAGTATGGAGAGAATGATGGATCGGATTGGGCCTCTGCCATAAATACAAAATAGGATCGTGGGGGCTCATTTCCCGCCTCAGTTCTGCCACTGCCTGGCTTTGGTTTCCTAAGATGCCATGTGGGGTCATTAGACCCTGCCTTGCCCTGTCTGCTGACAGACTGGCAGAGGATAACCTGGAGGAATAGGAACCAGTGTTCTGGGCAAGCAGCAGGGTGCTAAGGATGCCCTAAAGGCAAGTTAAAATGACAGTAATGAAAATCACAATGACAATGACAACACAGGGTGAAAGCAGTGACACAGCTGCCTCCTGGCGCCTGCCCGCTGGTGGGAACAGCACAGAATTTGGCATCTGGCCCGCTCTTCAGTTCTGGCTCTTTCTAGCGTCTGTCTTGCTGTGTGCTCTTAACCTCTGTGAACCCTACTTGCCTTATCTATAAAATTGAGATGTATAATTCCTACCTACCTCCAGGACTGTTTGGCGGCGTGGATGAGGTAAGGCATGATGGAAGGGCGTCAGTGTTTAAAATTCTAAATTAAGCAGGAATAGCGAGCATCAGAGTGTGTCACTCACTGACTCCTCCTTCCCAGTCCTAGTCACAAGCCCTGTGTGCCGGTGCCTTCTTCCTCCCTGCTGTCCTGGCTGCACCTTTGCTTGGGGCCAGGCCTGGGCTTCCTCCAGCTGGGGGAACGGTAGCCAATCCTTCTGTCTTCATCTCGGTCTCCAGACCTTCAGCCCTCCCAGAGGCGGGGCTCCCCAGCTCTGCCTTCTCGCAACATCCTTGATGAAACCCACGTTTTCAGGGCCAGCTTGTAGGTAGGACAATGCCACTCTGCAGTAACAGTCTCAAATGATAGTGCTTGAGCTGGACTAGACATATGGAGATTCATGCCAAGGCCCTTCCTGCCTCGGGACATTGGCACTGGCTGCTGCGCCTTCCACCTGGAACGCTCTCTCTGCCCCTCTCCATCCCTCTATGACCTGCCCTTCTACCTCTTTAGGACTTCACTCAAATGCCATGCTAGGGCTGTCACTGAGCCACTCCATTTAAATGGCAGCCCTTTTGCCTGTCACTCCCCACCTTTCCTCAATTCTTTCCTTCTGTAGCACCTACTGCCATCTGGTGGACTGA